CAATTCTAATCTATTCTTTGAAAAACTAATCAATTCTAATCAATAATTTATAAAACTAATCGATTATAATTAATTATTTGAAAAAATTATCAAATATGATCGATCATTTCAAAAATCTAATCGATCAGAGCAAAAAATCGCTCGAGCGAGACTAGAGTCGCTCAAGCGAAATACAACCCGAGAATGCCAATTTTGTGCAGGGGCGTTTCGCTCGAGCGATTTTATTTTCGCTTGAGCGAATAAGACTTCTAATAGCGGTTAACGCTTAACCGCTATCTAAAATATGAATAAGATAGTGGTTAACCCATAACCGCTATCTAAAATACATTTTAGATAGCGGTTAACCCCTAACCGCTATTATATCCTCCCAATTATGATCGATCATTTCAAGGTATGATCGATCAGAATCTTATTTCGCTCGAGCGAGAGTACTATCGCTCAAGCGAAATACAACCCGAGAATTCACAATCTTAAAATATTTTTTTGAATATTATGTTTTTAAATTTGCTATTAGAGAAAACCTTTCAGAATTCAAAATGTTAAATGTATAAGAGTTCAAAATGTTAAATATTAAAATTAACTTTATCAAAAATTAGGAAAAAAAATTTATCCAAAAGAGTTCAAAAATGTATAAGAGTATTCTCAATTTTGAGTTTAATTATATTGTTCATTCTCAAAGTAGAAAATTATATTGTAATTATTTTAATTTACATTTTGTTATCTTCTTAAAATTAGCATCAATAACATTAGACTTTACATTTGATTCATACCTAACTAATTATAGATTAAAAGGAAAGTGGTATAACCATGCATTTTACTTTTCTATTTACCTTATTCTTTTAATTATTTTATATAATATTTACCTTATTCTTTTAATTATTTTATATAATAATAATCAAAATATTCACATTCATATGGGCGTTTTCGAAAATAATATTATTGTATTATTGTTAAAATTAGCATCAATAACATTAGACTTGATCTTCTTAATTATATTGTTCATTCTCAAAGTAGAAAATTATATTGTAATTATTTTAATTTAATAAAATATAATTTAAATTTTTAATACTAAAATTAAAAGATTAAATAATAATGACTTTAATTCTTTAAATTGAGTATTTAGAAACTAAAATTATAGTTTCTCTGTTTTAAATAATTAAAATAAAAATCAATATCAAAACTAGTATTATCTTCATTTTTTTGTTTCAAACTTCTCAATTCTACATTTTTGTAACTTCTATCATTATATTATCATCCTCATCTCATCCCATGTTCTACTTTATCTTTACAATAGTTAATATTCTTAAATAATCTATATTTTTAATTTTAAATTTCATAAATTAATACATTCTAATCTATTATTTGAAAAACTAATCAATTCTAATCAATAATTTAGAAAACTAATCGATTATAATTAATTATTTGAAAAAATTATCAAATATGATCGATCATTTTGAAAATATAATCGATCAGAATCGGATTTCGCTCTAGCGAGACTAGAGTCGCTCAAGCGAAATACAACCCGAGAATGCCAATTTTGTGCAGGGGCGTTTCGCTCGAGCGATTTTATTTTCGCTTGAGCGAAGAACACTTCTAATAGCGGTTAACGCTTAACCGCTATCTAAAATATGATTTAGATAGCGGTTAACCCATAACCGCTATCTTAAATACATTTTAGATAGCGGTTAATTCCTAACCGCTATTATATCCTCTAAATTATGATCGATCACTTCAAGTTATGATCGATCAGAATCGTATTTCGCTCGAGCGAGAGTAGTGTCGCTCAAGCGAAATACAACCCGAGAATGCCAATTTTGTGCAGTGTGTTTCGCTCGAGCGAGACCAGCGTCGCTCAAGCGAAATGACAATATTTTAATCGATACAACTTGATTTTAATCGATTAAAATCACTTAAGGGTTCAGGATGATCGATCATAATGCAATTATGACCGATCAGAAGCAGTTTTAATCGATTAAATCTTGTTTCAATCGATTAAAACAACTTAAAAATTTCTACACAGCGTTTTAATCGATTAAAACTTATTTTTATCAGTTAAAATAACTTGAAAAGTTTTACAAGAAAGTTTTGCAGTATTTCAATCGGTTGAATCGTGAAACAATCGATTAAATCAACTTAGAGGATTTTTTGTAAAGTGTTTTAATTGATATAAACGTTGTTGTATCAGTTAAAACAAATCTGTTAAAGAATCAAGAACGTATTAATGGATTAAAAGAAGTTTTAACAGATTAAAACTGCACTTTTAACAGATTAAAAGAATCTTTTAACAGATTAATTAAACCAGCAGTTTTGAAAATCTTCTATTAAAACAGTTTGGCTTGAACTTTTTTAACATACATTGAATATCATCTTTTACACATCCTTGAGCAATCAATCAAGCAAACTTCAGCACTCTTTTCAAGAAAGATTCGCATCAGTTTTTGAGAAGTTCTTTGAAAATCTTTCTTGAGGCAACTTGATTTCTTTTGAAGAAGAAACACTTACAGCAGAATTGCATAAACTGGTTTGAGCATTCTAGTTTCTTCTTTTTCATTTCTTTACATTCTTTTTGTATTGTTTGGTGCCTGGAATTTGGGCACAGGTTTCTCTCAGTCTGGAATTTGGTAATACGGAAAACATTTCAGAAAGCAAAATGTTAAATACTTTTAAATATTAAAATTGACTTTAAAAAAAATTAGGAAAAAAAATTAATCAAAAAGAGTTCAAAAATGTATTATAATATTTTCAGTTTTAGTTTAATTATATTTTTCATTCTCAAGGTATTAAAATATAATTTAAATTTTTAATACTAAAATTAAAAGATTAAATAATAATAAATTTAACTCTTTAAATTTAGTATTTAGAAACTAAAATTATAGTTTCTCTGTTTTAAAAAATTAAAATAAATATTTAAAAATAAAAATCAAAACTATTATTATGTTAAATTTATTAAAAGTATAATTAAATCTCTATTTTCTTCAATTTTTTAATATAAATTTTTAAAATATAAATTAATTTCAATTGAAATTTTCAATTGAAAAATAAATTCAAGAATATTTGTTATTAAACTTTTCTTAAACAATGTATTGAATAGTTAACATCACTCTAGTCTTAATTTATTACAATTTAAATTTTTAATAAATTTGATTTATTACAATTTATTTTGTTAATATTGAGACCAAAGTTTATTTTTAAAGTATATTTTAAAAATTAAATTATTTTTAAAAACTAAATTACTTTTAAAAAATAAATTGTAAAAAATATACTAAAAAATTAAAGTATATTTATAAAAAAAATTTAAATATAATAAAAAAATAATATTCATTAGCGACCGATTTCAATTCGGTCGCTATTTTCTCATTAGCGACCGATTATAATTCGGTCACTATTTCAATTTGTGATTCGGTCGCTAAATCAGTCGCTAAATGATTTTTTTATTTTAGTGTGGAATAGCCACCGATTTAGCGACCGAAATTTTGCGACGCAAATTATTGGTCGCTATTTCGGTCGCTAAATAACAAAATGAAAACCAATTCATATTTTGGTCGCTAAATTGGTCGCTAATTGCGATCAAATTAAAGTGGTCGCTGAATCGGTCGCTAATTGCGACCGAATTAAAGTGGTCGCTAAATCGGTTGCTATTTGCGACCAAAATTAAATCGATCGCTAAATCGGTCGCTATTTGCGACCGAAAAAATTCGGTCGCTAATTTCGGTGGCTAAATGTCATTTTTCTTGTAGTGTCATTAATTAAAATGAATTATTGATGTAAATGAACGAGTTGAAAAATATCAAAATTAAATTATTTATTTTTATGCACAAAATCTTGTTTTTTTTAAGAACAACTAATCAATTTTTAGACAGAGAATTTTTTTAATATAATATTTTGAAACTTTATGTATGATGATAGATACTTTATATATTATCTTTTAAAATTCAACTAATATAAATCATGATCCATCTATCTTCATATCACTTTTATTGACAACTCATTTACAATTGAAAAAAGTCACTAAAAATTTAGTGTGATTAACTTCCTAAATACCTTTAATTACACCATAATACATTATGATCTAACAGCTAGATTTTGAGTAGAGAATTGCATTGATTTTGTCTAAGAATTACTCTAGTATTTTGATTTTGTTGTCATTAAAAACTTTCTATGAACAATTATTTATATCATATCCAAGACAACATAAAATATCAAATTTAAATCATATTTATCAATCATGTTAATGTTTCAAACAATGTTATAAGATCTTTCATTATTTTATTTTCAATGTATACATGACCTTATCATGTGTAAAAAAACTCACTTTTATATAATTTATTAATACGTAATTATTAATTATATTTCTTTTATTTCATAAATTTTAAATAGTATTTTCCATTAGTCTTTAGATAAATAAAAAATTAATAAAGCGTTGACATCAAGTTAATCACAATCAACCACGCACTTGAAGATTAAAAGAAAAAAAATACAATCAACAAAAATTTCTTAAAATATATGAAATATTAATTAAAATATACGTATTAATAACATGTTAAAATCCAACTAGACAATTAAATAAAGATTCAATAGGATGCATGATTGTTAATTTTCCTCCTTTTGTTTTTATTAAAAAAGATAAAAATATTTTAAAATAGAAATAATATTTAATCTTATACCGAAAACTAAAAATCACTCAATGTTATATATTATATAATATTTCCTAAATTTTGGAAACTTTACACCTAAAATATGAACATCGTGAAATTTTTGAAAATTAAACAATGCAACGTATGTGGGGTTTGGATACCAATTCATTCAACGTACATTCATCATGCATAACACTTTTTTTTTCTTCAATTCATCAAATGGTAATATATATATATATATATATATATATATATATATATATATATATATATATATATATATATATATATATATAAAAGTTGTAAATGTAAAAATAAATATTTAAATTAGAAATACTAACCTGGTGGACGATGTACAGGACCAGATCACGGAAGAGAAGATATATAAACTACAACTTGCATGGTGGCAGCGACGAGCAAGGATGGAGATGGATCAATGTCAGTACGGCCTAGCAACGGGCATCGACGAGGGGTTGTTGGCAGAACTGACAAGCAATGGCGTACGACAAGGGGCAACGAAATGCAGTCAAGGTGACACTAAATGGAACCAGAGAGAAGATTTGGAATCAATGAAAATGGAATCAGAGATATAAAAGGGGAGATAGAGATACGAAAATGAATCTATAAATAATTTTCTTTGATTTTGAATAGCATATATATGAGATATATAATAAAATATTTTTTATATTCTTGAATAATTCTTATTAACCATTCTCGGACACGTAAATCTGTGTTACAATATATTCAAATATTTGGTATCTTATGTAGAATAAATTACACATAAAAGGAATGAAAAGTAGCACCGAACGAAAATGACCAAGGTTGAATAAGTTGTCCACTGTAATAAACACACTGACATAGCAAAACTATAGCAGAAACCCTTTATTAAAACCTTCTTACTCCATGTCCATGGCTATATACACATAAAGTAATTCACATCATCATCGTGGATACTATCCCTGGATTCATCTGTGTCTACTGTGACATAAAAGCCATAGACAAATACAAGAGCAGCCACATAAGAAGGGAAAATCACAATCCAAATTCTGGATGAGACTCGAGCAAATTAAACAAAGAAAGAATTCTTTAAGACAAAAAAGAAAAACATCACATTGTCATCATAACTTAGTGTGTTCATCTCTCAGAGAAACAGCACGTTATTGTCATAACCCAAGTGGTGTTCATTTTCCTGCCTGTTTATTTGATTCAGCCGATGAGCACTGGTAACATGAAAAATTATTACATGATAAGAAAAACTATTACGTATCCATAATCTCAATCAATCTTTACGTGATAAGCAGTTGAGGTTTTAGTTTGTGAAAAAGTTGATAAAACTTGACTATGTATCACGTGAAAATTTACTGAAAAGATGAACAAGTAATGATTCCAAACCATACAATAATTTCTGCATGTATAATATCCAAGAAGCTAGAATTTCTTCGACAAAATTGGCCTCTCTATAAGGCTTATAGAGGATGAGCCACAAGATGGTGAAGAGAAGCGTTTGTCAGCAACAAAATCGTTCTCTTCCTCCATAATGGTGTCAAGCATTTTCTTCACCCGACACCGCGTCACTGACACGAATCTTGGTGGAGCAACCTCGGTTGTGACCCTTGCACATCGCAACTTGGCCATGTGAGAGTGAAAAAGGAGTGATGAACAAGTGAAGATAAAATAGAGAAAAGAGAGAGGTAGGTATAGATGGTGGTGAAATTGAAGTGACGAGTTGCATTTATAAGGTTGAGTAATTGGTGTGGCGCATCGTTTTGGTTGAGATTATGTGGTGCTGTATAATAGATATAGCTTTCAATGGTCGGTTACATTGTGGGGCTATGTCTGCGGGGTAACCCTTTCTTTTTCATTCCTATGCTGTACACATCTAATGCAAAGACCAAGGGCACAGGCTGGATGTAGGTATAGTCCAAATTTCTTTACTGCACACTATGTGGGACTCGTAAGATACATGCCAATATTATTTTGTAAAATAAAAATCAAAATAATATTAGAAGAAAATGTGTCGGAGAAAAGACAAAATTCCATGGCTATAATTGTGAGTCCTTGTTCTTTTGCATGAAGTTTGTTGGTTATAACTCTTCATTTGCAAATATCTCTTCTTTAAAAAAATTCAAACAAACTATTTTTTCTACTTTTCTACAATTCTACTAATAAAGAATGTGATGAAAACGTTATATTACAAGTGAATATAATTTTTACTGATTCAGTTTTATAGGATAAGTATCTCATCAAATTTCTTAAATAAGTTACTTTTGATTTAAAATCCTCTATAACTTGTTAACATATATTTATTTTTTATATCTTTATTATTCAAATCTTGTTCTCAATGTAAATAACTCAAATCACAAAATGGATTAGATCCGGTTGTCAGATAACAGCTTACCACCTACCAGTCCATCTAAAAAAAAATGATTTTAGCTTATCAGCTTTTTTTATTTCTCCTATTTTAAGCGAACCATTTTAAAAATATATTTATATATTAAAATAAAAATAAAAATAATTATATAATTAAAAAGATTAGATTTTTTATGTTATTAAAATATATAAATATATTATAATTTAAATTATAAAATTAATCAATTAAGTTTAAATTATTGATTATAATTAATTTTTTTAACAAATAAATATAATAATTTTTTTAGTTTATCTAATAAAAATACTAATTAATAAAAACTTAAAAATTATTCATATAATTAAAGATATATTAAATAAAATACATATAAAAAAATTTATTTACAGTAGATCATGAACACCCTTTTAGTAGAGTGAGTTGTAGTCTCTAGTTTATTTTGATTATAATAAATTAATTTCTCTCATTCCAAATTTTTTTTTTACTGAGTAGAGCGTACGAGCTAACTCATTTTTAACTCCTCTTAATTAACATTCTTACCTGAATTCATGTTGAATTTGTCAAAAGTTATGTATTTTCAAGACTATGATTTTTTTTTATATATACAAATATAGTTTGCAAATCTTATTCAAGTAATAGTAAGGTAAAGTTTTCTCTGGTGAATCAATTTTAGAGATTATCACATTTGGTAAACCTTAATTAAGATCTTAAAATACCTTCATCACAATAAAGATCTAGAGGTGATAGATCATTAACGATAAAGAAAAAAATTGTTTCAAATAAACATAATTGTTTGAAAAATACAGTATTGTACTCAGCCTCACATGAATTCTTAAAAAAAAAATTATCTCACAATTTATAGGAAGCAGTTCTTGATACCAAAATTGGTAATACTTTATAAGATTAAAAAAAAAAACTTAAATTGACTTTAGATCCATATAATTTTACGAATTTCCTATCATTACCAATAAATGAATGTCTGCATGAATGCAATCAATTGAATTCGTTAAAAAGATCAAAATTTACAAGATACCAGGTCCATTTTCATTCAAACACAAGCAACAGTTCTAACTCATTTCATATTGTACTATAATTGTATAATAATGTGACTTTCCAGATAAAGTCTTTACAGTAAAAGTTAATAATGAGTGATTCATGGTCAATATATATCATTGAGTTTTACCTTCAGCTGCCAAAAGTGTAACAATCTCCTCCTTTATCTGATTTCTTAACTGACTTAGGTAGGATTTGTGTGTGGCATTCATGTATAACCAAATAGAATCTGTATTCTTTAAATATCTTGGTCCTGTGCACTGATTTTTTTTTTTAACTTTCAAATTAATTCATATTGTGTTAAAGTATATATAAATATGATGCATGAACATAATGCATGGGACAACCCTAACCTACCTATCTTAATAGTAAAATGAGCAAAATCAATAATGTAAGGTCACCTATGCATGTATAAGCGTGACTGTTAACCTTGAAATTCTAGAAAATGTGGACCCAAAATCTTATCCTTTGTTCCCTTCAATGACTTAACTAACATAATTGATTAAGATGTGTGACAGAGATCGCAAGGAGAGTTTAATGAACTTTCCCATATGTTTTCTAAAAATCCATCCAAAAAAAACTATTGCTAGTACACAGAAGCTGAGGCCCAAAAATTTCATAGTGCAAGATTTTGATACCCTATTTGTGAAACGGCATATTCACATGCTTCAGCAATAGGGTTTTGGCTCTGCTGTTAGGTACGTGCACAGAAGAGGTGATTGGTGGAAGATGTTTAGTATTAATAGTAGTTTTTGTCTCCTAGCTTCTGCACATTGATTACAAAAAGTGGGTATCTACAACAACATTACATTGATTTCTGGCAATGTTTTGAGGGACCATTGGGAATGTGGTTTGAAACCGTAACCGCACCAGCACGGCGTTGGTAGCGTGGTGAAAGATTGTTGTTTGGTTCCTGCATGCAGGACGAAAGCTTAGTTTTCACATGGGGTGTACTGTAGTGTTGATCATCGTCATTCGTTGTTATTATCACATCTTTCAATTCTCATCCAAGAATGTGTATGTGTGTGATAAGTTGTGATGAGAATCAGGTTACCAGACCAAGTTACGTAATGACAATTTGGCTATGTGCAGAGGCACTCTTACTACTCGAAAATAAGGTTTCTGTTAGTCTTATAGTAATCATCAAAACTTTAATCCAACCTAAAAGTTAATAAATTCATCATTTCAATTTTTGGATTAATTCACTCACAAGTTGACTATTAATACTGGAAGTTCCATATGGGGTGGTCTCATGTAATTTGGCTTCACCTCTTCCTACTTTGCATGATTTAAATATCTAGGTATTTTATATATTATTAATTAGTTTTATTTTGAAATTTTAATATAAAAGTTAAAATCTATTTTTTATTATTGGTCTAAATAAAAAATTATTTTATTATTTATTTAGTTCGACAATTTCAGGAGTCTATTAAAATTTCATGTTTTTTCGTTCGAGTTACGTATTATCAATTAATTTTATATTAAAATTTTAATCGTTATATCAAACAGCTATTTTTAACAAAAACATATTTTTAATAATTTTTTAGTTATTTTTATTGAAAATCCAAAATAAATCAAACTTGATTAAATATTTTTATCTATCTTTAAAAATGTTATTTTTCAGAACTGTCTTTTAGAATATTTTCATAATAAATTATATCATATTAAACATTATTTTTTAACTAATTTATCTATTAGGTCGGAACTTTACAAAAACATACTATATAAAAGAAAAAAAATATACAATTCATAATCTTGATTATTGCTAATAAATTATAAGTGATAGGTTAAAAAATATATATATATATATATATATATATATATATATATATATATATATAAATGATAATTCTTGATCATTGTTACCAAATTGTAAGTGATTGGTTTAAAAAAGCAAAATATAAAATCAAAGTAGCAAAGAAAAACAAGAAGCCATTAGCAACATAAACAATTATTTTGCTTGTACCATGTTTTTTCTTGTAATTATATTTAGAATCTTCACTTATGATACTATTTTAATTAAGATAATAATTAGTCGGCTATTAAAATATGAATTTTCTAAAATAAAAAAAATGATGATATCAAATCAATCACGTATGTAATTAATCAAATTTTTATGAAATATATAAAGTGTTGATTAAAATATTTGTATTATTGAACTAATCAACAATAATAAATCTCTCCAAACCGTTACTTTTTTCTTGTTTAAAAATAATAGATATATTTAAAATAAAGGTAATATTTAATAATTTATATTGAATCTTATACACGACAATGCCATATATTTCAAAAAATTTCATAAATTTCTACAACACTTCAAATATGAGCATCCCAAAAATTAAACAATACATGTTCGGATTCAATACGACTTCGATGAATAAAACATATAACTCATCACATATATATTCTTAAAACAAAGAAAAATAACATTTCAAACTAATTAAAGAATTATAGTAATTGTGTATTTTTCACCATTGAAAGGAATATGAGAGAAATCTCTAGTGCTTATAAACCATTTTGAGTTATGCTTTCAAGATATGCCAATGATGTAGGTTATTGGTTCATGCTGACGGACCAAATGAAAACACATGTTATGACATATGTGTGGAATTCAAATACCACTTACTTCAAAAAATTTCGTGTAACAAGTGCATCCTATAATACTTTTTCACTTATTCATATGAAAAATTGGAGTAAAACTACTACTTTAAGTTGTTTCTCACTGCATTTCCATAGTTCTTCTTTTACTCTCATAATTCATATAAATGACTCAAATACCTTTTGCAAATTCTTGTTTGAAACCTAAAAGCTTTTTCTATTGTACTACTATATATCTACATCATTCTTGTAATTTTGTTTTGTTCGGTTTCACCTCCATTAAAAATTGTTTTTACGAGATAATGTAAGAAATTGTTAATATTTTATACCTATTAGATGAATATAGTGATCTAAACTATTCAGTTGGAAGTATATTTTTTAACTTAAAAATGAGTTCTAGAATACTTAGTCCAAAATATATTTTTGAAAGAATCAATTTAAAAATACATTCTAAAACGATCTAAAAATACATTTTGAATTAGATTTTCTAAAATGCATTTTCGAGTTGACTGTGTTTAAAAATGTATTTCAAAATATTTAATCCAGAATGTATTTTTGAAACAACCAGTCAGAAAATACACTCTCGAATAACCAATCCAAAAATAAGTTACGAAGATGT